CGTTCGCCAAAGCACGCCTTTTTACCACCACTTCATCGCGCTGTTGTCACAGACTTCGCACGGCAAACTATTCGAAACGGCCGGTACACGGAGTAGCCTTTACGGCGTTTACATCGAAATCCTGAAATCGTAAAATCCCTCGCGCGGCCAACCTTACACGTTTCAAGCACTTCGGTCGAGCGAATCCACAGATTCTGCTGGTACGGGGCCCTGAAAGTTGAATTAGGTTCGCGACAGATATCATATTGTCGGTATCCCGATAATAAAAGGAAGAGATAACAGCTCGATCGTTACGGAACGTCGATCGGTCAAACAATAGCGATCTAGTTATATGGTATTATACGATTATATTTCTCTATTATTTACATCGTATCGATGTTTCTTCGTATTGGATCGTACTTTCGCTTGAAAAAAAAAAAAAAAAATTAGATTTGTCTTTTGCTTTGACTTTGATAATTCTGCGAGTAAAAAGGTTAAACTAGCAAGATTAAACCGAATATTAAAAATTTTTTTCCTCCTCGATAGACACACATTTCAATTTCAGTTTTTTGAAAGTGAAGATTTTCATTCATTTTGCTGAAAATAATGGCACAGGGTATTACCGAAATTGATCGTCCATTAGAAAATTCATACGCGATACGCAGCTTTACGAAATATAAGACGTCTCTCCCTTATTTGTCGCGCTTATCTTACGCATTAACTTTGCTTGGCCTCGTACAAGAAAAGTACAATAGAACGCGGTATACGATCGTTGGTGTCAGAATTTCTTTTTTCTCGACCATTGCACGGCACTTGGCGAAATTTAACTATATCGCCTGCAACGTCGAACGCTTCGGAGTTTCGAGTGCCACCGTTACTCTATAATAACCGAGGATGCTTTAATATTGTTAACGCGAATTGCGAATGTGGCTACGCTCGTAAATGAATGCAAACAATGGCACGGCAGACATGCAACAATGGCGATGTTAGAAACGTTCTGTTAAAATTTCAACGTTAACCTAATATACACGCTGACAATGGTAGCCGACGAAAATTAAATTTCTAGGAAATTTGAATAACGTGTGGTGCGAGACGCGCTAGGCGGCCGCGCTGCTGCTTTTTCTATGGCCGACTTTTTGAATGTCACGAAACCTTCGACGCGGTTACGTAGCTGCTAACGTACGACCGTTAAACACGTTATCATACATGACGCACGACCAACGCTTTGTCTCCTCTTGCTCCTTCTATCCGTCTTTTCGACGATTCTTCCTCGGCTCTACTACCACACGCGTCCGTCTTCTTCCTCTTCCGTCTATTTTCTTTTCGCGCAACTTGCCACATATACACGGATACGCGCGACAGTAAGTACATTGCCCTTGTCGTGTACTTTTTGTAATACATTAAGCCATATATCTTATGGGATATACGCGGAGACGGTGCCGTATGGCGATGGCTTCTAACGGTATTGACGGGGGTGGAGCTGCCGCGGATGGAAGACACGCGAATGACGTTAAGGGAGCTACTGGGCGAGCGAGCGAGTGACTGATGCGACTAGAGGGGAATGCTTTTCGCTTCGAGCTTGTCGTTTCTTCCTTCCCTTGCCTCTTTGTACCGATGCTCGGCTGTGTAAGCAGGTCTTCTTTCATTAAACGTAAAACGAAGCAGATAAAACTGTGAGAAAGTTCGGATAAAATAGAGATGGAACGACGAAACGATAACTCGGAGAACAACTCTCAGAACTTTGTCTCTCTCCCTCTCTCTCTCTCTCTCTCTCTCTGTATCCTCGTACTCCGCGCTAACCTTGCTACGTTCGTTGCACGATTCTCCATTTCTAACGAATATTCTCGCAAGGATACGATACGCACGACTCTTTCTTCCAATTTACACTTCAGGCACGGTTTCTCTCAAAGCATCGAGAGTTCTTCCGTTTGTTGCAACAAGCATTCATCTTCCATGCTATTTCCTTACCGCGTTGCGTCTTACGCGTTAACACGTGCTTACGCGTATCCAGTTGTTTAACAATTTTGAAAACGACATCATCCTTCGAGACAGAATTTTCCTCTCCCTATTCCAGACTCTCCAGCTGCCACGCGTCTTGTCCGTAATCTATCGGGATCGCTAGAAGATAGTCCGGCAGTCGCATCCGATCGAGTTTCCGTTCGAAGAAATTCCGTCGTGGCGGAGTCGCCTCGCGAGGATTCTAAGATGTCCGTGTGCGGATTGTAAGCACGTGTTTCCACATAGGTGCAGACGGATACCGTGGTGGAGGCGTCGCGACGAGCACGCACGCACGCGATATTCCCGTTTATACGTGCCACGCATACGAGTCACGGATTGCCCGAATCGTAAGATCGACGCACGTGCGACCGACACGGTGCGCTACGATACAGCTCCGCTAACCCGTAGAAATAACGACAAAAGGAGAATAAAAGAGGAGAATTTGGAAGATATTCGAAACGACGAAGACGAATAAATTTCGCGTTAATCGCGAGAAGACGGGTTGGCCGATTCGACGCGATGGAAAATCGTCGAGTGGCCGGGTCGTTGGGAATTTTATGCAAGCGCCTGTACTCTCGGAACGCAGGCAGCGATGTAGGCAGCGACCAGCCAGATATATGCATAACGCGTGCACGTACACGTATCCGGGTGCGCGATACAGCCGAACGATACTAGCGTGTATGCAGCCAGCTTTCCTGCATCTAATGTATACTTTTCACGTCGCGGCAAACTGCGCCGGCCGTCGTAAAGATAGTCGGCCG